TGTGACCGGTCGAGCCCTAGGAGCCCTAGCGTGTTGGCGTCTGAGGATGTTGAGGCCACGCCTCCGGTCCATCAACACATTGGTGAGTCAGGTGTTCCCGATGATCGGGTCAACGACGAGCGGGTACTGGCCGGGGTTTGGGACATGATCGGGGTGGTCATCCCGATCGAAGGTGATCACCTCCGAGACCGGTCCGAGGTACCGGGAGTGGCCACCTTAACCGAGAAGACCTCTCGGCGTTCCTTTTTTCATTTATCCTTGCCGTGAGGCACGTCGAGGGCCCACCGAAGATCATGAAGGCATTGTGTACCTCGGGGAACCCGTCGTCCTTGTCGTTGTCTCTGTCATCCTGGCCCCTCTTCTTGGCATCATCGTTGGGGAGCCCGAGCTTAGCGTAGTATCGCCGAAGCATGGTGCACTCCTCGAGAGTGTGCTTTACCGAGCCCTGATGGTATGGGCAGGGTCTTTTAAGCATGTTGTCGAAGAGCCCTGGGCCTCGGGGATTCTTGCGGTCCGCGGCCACGACGAGCCCGGCCTTGAGAACCTCCTATTTCCCCTGGCGTCCCTTCTTCTTTTTCTAGGGGGGCGAGACGTCGAGGCCCCGAGGGTCTCATCCCGCCTCTTCCCCTTGGAGTCGTTGTTGGGGAAGATGGCCCCGACGGCCTCTTCACCAGAGGCGAAGCTGGTGGCGATGTCGAGGAGTGCGGACGCCATGGTTGGTACGCTCCGGTCTAACTCTCGGACCAGGTCTCGACAGGTGGTGCCGAAGAGGAATGCTTGGATGATTTTTGAGTCACCGACGCTAGGCAACACGGTGCATTGCTTGGAGAAACGCCAGATGAAGTCTCGGAGAGACTCGTCCAGCCCCTGGCGGCAACTCTTGAGGTCCCAGGAGTTCCCGGGGCGCGCGTAGGTGCCCTGGAAATTCCTGACGAAGACCTTTACCAAGTTGCGCCAGTCGTGGATTTGCATAGGGGGAAGGTGTTCGAGCCAGGCTCGCGCTGAGTCTGACAGAAATAGGGGGAGGTTGCGGATGATGAGCAGGTCATCGTCCGCCGCCTAAATGACAAGCCGACGGATGTCGGCCAACCATAGCTCGGGGTTGGTCTCGCTGCTGTACTTTGAGAGATTCGCTGGTTGACGAAACCGGGCCGGGAAGCGGGCGCTGCGGACGGCCTTACTGAAAACTCTAGGGCCAGGCGGCCCGGGAGAAGGACTGCGGTCCTCCCCACTATCATAGCGACCGCCTCGGTGCAATTGGTAGCCTCGGGCGGCCCCATCGTGGTCGTGGTGCCGTCGTCTGCTGCCCATGTGGTGGCCGTTTTGCGCCTCGCGTTGGTCGTCGAGGCGGTCGTGCACCGAGGGGGCCCTGAGGCGGTCGTGCACCGAGGGCTGTTTCGAGGCGTCCCCGCGTCGTCGAGACGCAGAGCTTTCAGCCTGCTACACCGCGACAGTCTCGAGAAGGCCCTGGAGTTCACCGTGGACCCGTCGCCCCTCCGTGGTAGAGGGCTCGGGCATCGCTCGGACCAGTATCGCCGCCGTAGCGACGTTCTGGCTAGCGCGATTGAAGACAGGGGGTTGCTCGCCCCCCTCATCATCGTTAATGCGGCGGTTGACGTCGCGAGCCCTTAGCCGGGCCGTTCCGCCATCGTCGTGGCCCCGCTGCTCTTGCTCGAGGGTGGCTCGGAGCTGCTGCAGGAGGAGTCGATCTTGCTCGACCTTGGTTTGAAGCTCACAGAGCTGCTCTAGGTCTATGCGTCGAAGTTGCTCGGGGGTGGGGACACCGCCGCTGCTGCCGGGCGATCCGTGGCGTGGTGGTGTGGCGTTATCGCCTTTCCTCCATCGTTGCCGTGCTCGGCATTCTGAGTCCGATGTGGAAACACTCACGAGTCGGGCCGCAAGCATCCTCGCCGTCGGAATCGGAGTAGCCGAAGCAGTAGTTGCTCGCGATCATGAAGCGGCGCATCGCCTCAGGGTCGTGAATCCCGGAGAAGTCAGCTCCAACCCACGCCTCATCCTCCTCCGAGGAGTCAGAGTGGGGGTGGATTGGAGTTGTGACTATGGGGTTATGGGCGTGACGTTGATGAATGGAGACGAGGGCGGTGGCGTAGGAGGCGGCGACATTGGTCAGCCCGAAAGGGTACGGGGATGGCGCCGTCGCCAGCCTCGGCTCCGCCAGAGCTGGCTCCTTGGGAGGAGGCGGGACAAAGCTTGATGATGGGGCGTCGGCATGCATGCCCACCGCCCCTTTCCCCGTCGAGGCTTAAGCCGGACGGTGTCCCCGTCGCAGGACCCCGTGCCGCCAGCAGGTATGGGATTCCGGTGGAGCACGATCGGCGTTCTGTACTTGCGTTGTGTTAGGGTGGACTCTTGCGTGGCGCGCGTGGCGAAGCTTAACGGAGCAATGCCCGGCGCCGTCTCGCGAGTGGGTCGCTGCCAGATGCATGACGTCGTCGTCGGTTGATGGCGCTCTGGGTGAGAGGAGTACCATGTCGTACTCGTGCCCTAGAGACATGAATTCTAGGCTCCCGAACCAGACGATCATCCCGAGACGCAACGATCGCACGGGATCTGCCATCCGGAATCTGGTGGGATGACTAAGTCGACACGTAGAGGCCCCTACCGGCGCGCTAACCGCCGGTTTTGAACCGGGGGTCCTTAACCAACTAGTGAATTTGTCTTTGCGTGCTCTTAATCCGGATGGTGATGCAAAGAGACACAAGGTTTATCTTGGTTCGGGCAATGGATGCCCTACGTCCCAGTCTGAGAAGATGTTCTTGTATTCCTTGCACCGGGTGCTCTTAGTAGGGGTTACAAGCTAGGCGAGAGGGAGTTCGTCCCAAGTCTCTGTGAGGGGAGGTGATATGAATTACGAATGCGGGCGTGTTGTTCGTGCGCAGTGTTCGTGACTCTATCTCGCCGTCCCTAGAAACGGTCTGGCCGCCTCCTTTTATAGCCGTAGGGAGGAAACCGAAGTACATAAGAGAGCTACACGTGGAGCAAGGACTATTCGATGACGTATTTACTCTCGGAGGCAACATGGCGTCGTCGTGGGAGTTCTCGTAGATGTCTAATCGGTATGGTCTCCATCGCAAGTAACATGCGCGCATTTGTTGACTTGGTGGATTGCGAGGGCTCGGCGGCCATCGTGGCCGGTCGTGCCGAGGCCTGTCGTCTTGAGGCCGATTGTGCCGAGGCCTCGCCGTCTTAGGGCCCGAGAAGTGACCCAGTGCGGATGTGGGTCTCAAATACCGTCGTCAGTGGAATAGTGCGAGACGTCGCCCTCTGAGGATACTGATACATATTGTCGATGAGGGATGGTAAAAAGGTGATCGGCGACCGTTGTCCCGTCGCTCTGTTCTGGCATGCTTGCCGCCGATCGTGGCTTACGTGGCGGTCTTCTTTGAGCGCGTGTCGGATGTGACAACTGCCAGAGAGACTTTTGAGGCGGAGGCGACGAGGTTGTGGGATGAGCGCGGCCTCGGGTGAGGCGGAGCGCGACCAATTCGTCTGAGGCCCTTCCGAGGGGGTCTCGGGCGAGGCGGACGGGCGAGGCGGAGTAAGATCAGTGAATCCGAGGCCTGCCGAGGGGGCTCGGGCGAGCCAGAGCGGTCGGTCCGGCGATTCGAAGGCTGAGGAACCCGTTCTAACTCCCCACGCCAGATGTCCTTGGTGCGAGAGTTAGGCGACCAATGATCGGTAACCCCGCTTTGTGCCAGTGTCGCGGATGATGGGAGAGTTGACGCGACTAGCGTGTAGTCGGTCATTTCGCTGTACTGTGCCATCGTGCATCTGTCGGAGTGGTTGCGCGCTTAGATGCGACGTTCGGTCAGAGCAGTTTGGTCAAAGAGACGGTCATGGGGCTGGTGCCGAGCCGGCCTCGCGCGAATCGGGGAATCGGCACTTCTTCCGAGGCCCCGGGCGAGGGGGCCTCGACGAGGGGGCCTCGGCGAGGCGGTCTCGAAGAAGTCGGAGAATCGTTAAACTCATTGGGGCTTTCGGCGACGGGGTCTCGGGCGAATCGGAGATTTCGGCCGAGACCTCGTTTGTTTATTCCGTTGCCTCTGTTCTTAGGGTCTGAGCAGTTTTTCGATCTTTGCTTGGGGTACCCCATTTTCTGGTATCCGACAAGTTTCAACTACTGTAGTTTCTTCTGCTAGGGCTGCCCTTCCAAGCCAAACAGTGTGTTCGTTTTGACTTATTCGTTCGTATCTGACTTATAATCCACGGTTTGAATAGTGTTTTTCTCTCACACCAAATCAGTCAGCAGTATTTTCGGGGTTTACTCCATATCTAGCTTGTTCGGCTTTTTTTTCCAGCCGGAACAGTGTTTCTCTCTCGTAACAATTCAGCCAGCACCGTATTTTTCAGCCCGTTTTAGCCAGCCGAACGAGACCCAATTCCGCCGAAATGAACAGGCCGAAAGACAACACACGGAACTAGCACAATTTTTACCAGCGTTGCCTTACATTGATGACTCATTAACATTGATGACTCAGCAAAGCAATAATCACACGCCCTATTCTATTCCACGCAATCTGACGACAATCACCATCCAAGTCCAAGACCAGCGCACTGACAACACAGCACACAAGCCCCGGACCCGCCGGAGCCCGATCCCCCAAACAAAAGCAAGCAACCACGCCTCGCCGTCATCACACGCGCGCGGCGGCTACAAGTCTAGTCCTACACGGCGGCAGGCTCTCTCGTAGCCCGTACGCCTCCTGTCTCCTCCCCCCTCTAGTACACCTCGTGCTCGGTCGTCGTCCCGTTCTCGCTCCCGCCTCCACCACCACCAGCCACCAGTCCACCACCGCCGCCTGGTTTCTTCGTTTCCGCCAAGAAGAAGGGTCAAGGGAGGAGAGAAGATCCGGAGGCAAGTAGGGGGCAACCCACGTCGCTTCGCTTCCTTTCCTTTCCATCCTTCCTTGTCGGCTACCTCTCCTCTCCCCTCGTGCCGCGTGCTGCTTCTGCTAAACTGGAGTAGGGAGGAGGGAGTCATGGCTTCCGCCGCGGCCGCGCCGCGACCCCCGGCCCCGGCTCCGGCACCTCCGCCGCCGCCGCCCCCTCCTCCGCCTGCGGCGGCGGTGCACTGGCTGGGCCCGCGGGTGTCGTTCAGCCTCGATGACGCGGAAGGCGGCGGCGGAAGGGAGGCTGCGGCGGCGGGAGGGAAGGCCGGGGCAGGGCCCAGCGCCTGCGCCGGAGCCGGCGCCGACTTCGAGTTCCTGCTCGGCGGATGCGCTGCGGCATGCTCCATGCTCCCCGCCGACGAGCTCTTCTCCGGGGGCAAGCTGGTCCCGCTCCGCATCCCCGCGCCCGCAGACGAGACGGCGGCGGCCGGGGCGAGTGTGGGGGTGGGGGTGGGGGTGGGGGTGGAGGTGGAGGAGGTGACGGCAAAGTCAGCGCTGCTGCCGAACCAGGAGCAGGCCCCGGCGCCGGAGACGCCGCGGGCCGAGGTCGAGGCGGCGGCGGAGCCCAAGATCCCCGCGAGGAGGTGGCGGGATCTACTGCGTCTGCGGAAGCAGCAGGCGTCGTCGTCGTCGGGGGCCCCGGCGGAGCCGAGGCAGCTGCGCCGGCTCCTCCGCCGGGGCCCGAAGCCGCCCGAGCCGGAGCCGTCGCTCAGCCTGCCGCTGCTCCGCGAGCCCGGCCCCGAGGAGCCCGAAACCACCAAGGCCGCCGAGAAGCCCGCTCCTGCAACCGCATCTTCGTCGTCGTCGCAGCACCAGAGCCTGCTCCCTCCCAAGATCCGCCTGTCCCCGTCCGCGTCCGCGTCGCAGCAGCAGCAGGCGTCGGCGTCCGCGGCGACGTTCCAGTCGCATTCCCCGTCCCCGTCCCCGTCCCAGTCCCAGTCGCCCCCGCCACCCCCGCCTCCGCCGCCTCCCCCTCCATCGACGGTGGCGGCCGACAGCCCACGCCTGAACGCGGCGGGGAAGGTGGTGTTCAACGGCCTCGGGCGGAGCTCCAGCAGCCCGAGTAGCCTGGCCGGCGGTCGGCGCCACCGCAACGCGGGTCCAGGCAGCGGCGGCATGGAGCGGTCGTACTCGGCGCACGTCCGCGTGGTGCCCGTCCTCAACGTGCCCGTCTGCTCCCTCCGCGGCTCCCGCAAGTCCGTCTCCGTCTTCGGCATCGACCGCCTCTTCTCCCCGTCGGGCGCCGGCTCCGCCTCCTCATCCTCCTCCTCTGCCGGCTCGGCCAGGAAGAACAAGGCCGCCAAGAAGGACGTAGCCCCCGGCGCCAGCGCCGGTGCCCAGTAACTCGTCGGTCGCCGCTGTCACTAGTGAGTAATGTAACGAGTTGGTTTGCTTGAACAATGCTCGTGGTTTAGTCTGTTAATTACCACCGGTAGGCGACGGTTAATCGTCTGCCGGTTGATTTGGCATGTAAAAACTACAACAGTCGAGCTGAGCTGAGATGATCAGCAGCCTGTAACTGTTTGTATGGCTTGACTTATCAGTCAGTCAATAGTGTTTTTTTTCTCACACTAAACCAACAAAACCAGACAGCAGTATTTTCAGTCATGGCTTATAAGCCAATCTAGTCAAACGAACAGGCTGCATGTGAGTGACGAGTGAGTGAGGCTATCCCATCAAATATTTACGTACGAGTATTAAATATAGATTAAAAAATAATTAATCATACAGTTTACAACTAATTTCGAAACTGAATCTTTTTGTCAGTGTCAGTAGAAGAAGCAGCATCCAGTATCCATCCATGGTAGGAGCACGGAGCAGGTCAAGGTCAGTTGATGAACTCGTCGCCATCGGGATTCGGGACTCCTCTGTGGCGCGTTCGTGCAAGGAAAGCCGTGGTGATGATGTTGATGGTCCGTGTTTTTGGGAAGAAGTACTACTACTTAAGTAGAAGTACACGTAGTAGTGTCAGATACTCTGATGCCTGTCTGATTGCTTGGTGTTTATGAGTTTCACGAGAACAAAAGTACGCAATGATTGGGGCAAAATGGCCTGCATTTTCATGCACTAGTAGTACTGTACGTACAATTTACTTGTTGAAAAAAAAAAACGGAGGCCAGCCAAGGTGATGATGGGCGGACAGAACAGGTCGCCGACCGACGGACGACGGCAAGTCGGCAAGGGTCAGTGGGTAGTGGCGGTGGTCCAGCGCCAACCCGGTGGCAGGGCAGCCAATGCATTGACCATTCGTCGTGGCCTCTGCCTCGCTGCGCTGGAAGCATGTGCCTGGGGCTGGCTCGGCTCGGTGGCCTGTGGCCACTTCCCTCGACGACAGGTCGACACTGGTGGACGTGGACATGACTAAAGCTGCTCTCCGGCGAGGTCCTCTCCTCCCCTTCCCTCCCGCCTCCAGCCGCCACGCCAGTGGTGGTGCGCCTGAGCTGAGCAGCAGGCCGCAGACGGCCGGCCGGCGGGCGAGGAACGATCGATCGGTCCGAGAAGAGTAACGACGGCAGCGTCACATGGGTAGCGGACGGTCCTTCCTCTCTGCCCGTGCCCAGACACGGCAGTCGGCAGGGCATGTGCGAAGCACGCCCCCGGCCACCTACCACCGCCGGTCGATCTGCCAGCCAGCCAGCCGTGAGTCCGATCCGTCGGCGGCGGCAGTCCAACAGGAGGCTATACTATACGTGCGCGTTCCGTGCTGCTCGAGACATTGCTTGCTGTGGCCACGCACGCACGGACGGCGGCACGCATGACCACGACAGCTGCCGGGCCGCCACGCCGACCGAGGGTCAAATGGCATGGCATGTCAAGGAGGAGGAGGTGCAATGCGATCCGTTTTGCACGGGCTTCGTTCGTCAGCCATCGTCAGGCCGACAAGACGAACCAAGGCCGACGATCAACCAACAGGCGGGGTACCGTACCAAGGAGAAGGAGGGAGGAGAGGTGAGCACGGCGACAGTCGACGACGACACTCGCCGTCCCGGCACGGCGGCACGTACGTTCAACCCTGCACGTACGGTGCATGGGTGGGTGGGTGACCCAACGAGACGAGACGATCCAACCGAGCCCAAGCTCAAGCGTACGCGTACTACTACTCTGTAGCACTGTACCAGCTGCTGCCATGGCGCACTGATGACACTGTTGCATCCACCCCTCCTACTCCTGTTCCTGTACCAAGGGCGGCAAAGGTGTACCCATGCGTGCGTGTCCTCCGCTGTCGATCTCGCCTCCTCATGTTTACATTGCCGCCCTTCTTCAACCTTCAGCAAATGCCGTGGAGTTAGACATCGGACGGCCCACTCATATCGCAGCATTGTTGGAGCACTCCAATACCTAAGTTAACCTAACCATGGCATGCATGACGCGCCTAGGCATCTACTAATTAGTTTATGCAAGCTGTTCAGCAGGCTTACTGAAAAATTCTGAATACTGTGGGGGTCACAAATGCAAACGCAGTGGCCAAATGCATGCACTTGGCTTCGTCGTCAGCTTCTTGGTGAGCAACCGTGGTGTTACCTGGAAATTTCAAATGCTGGAAGATCATTTCACCTGCACACTTTCTTCACTCTAATATACTCCCTCCGTTCCAAATTCATAACACGTTTTGATATTTCTAGATTCATAGTTTTTACTACGCACCTGGATATATGTTATGTCTAGATACATAGTAGTAAAAGTTACGAATCTAGAAATGCCAAAACGTCTTATAATTTAAGACGAAGGGAGTACTAACTATTACTGGAGTACACTAAAACAAAGCCCCAAATATTCCCAGGAGCTGTAATTTTGCAAACTGAATAATTGAGGGAGGGAGGCCCTCGGAGTCTCATCTCACGGCTGGCCATGGCTTGGCACTGCCAACGCCCCCAACAGTGAGTGCCTTTACTAGTACCGTTGCAGAATTTGCAATAGGCTGGAGTAGGTGACAGGTGCGGATCTGGCCAATCAGGGGTGAGGGCGGGCTCGGCGCCACTGCGCGATCGCTCCGCGGGGGCCCACGTGCTAGCTATGGGCCCGTCAGTGTTACTGCTACTGCCCAGCTATCTTTGGTGGGCACTGCCCAGGCCTGGTCGAGTGGGTGGCCTGCACTGTACTGTACTGTCTGTGTGGGCCTTTGGGCCTGTGGCTGGCTGCATGCACGAGAGCCCGGACCGGAGGCCCCCCACTTCGTTGTACTACTAGCCGCCGTCTTGGCCATTATTGTAATGCTAGTAGTAAAAGTAGTATCGGGGTTCATCAATGATTAGATACTACCGTCCCTATCAGCCCTTGTTTAGTTTGCAAAAAGTTTTCCCAAAAAGTGCTACAGTACCTGTCACATCGAATCTTGCGGTACGTGCATGGAGCATTAAATGTAGATGAAAATAAAAACTAATTGCACAGTTTTGTTGGAAATTGCGAGACGAACGTTTTGAGTCTAATTAGTCCATGATTGAACACTAATTACCAAATAAAAACGAAATTGCTACAGTAGCCAAATTTCGCACTTTTCGCGAACTAAACGCGCGCTCAGTGGAGTGCTTTTACACTTTTTACTGTATGTATGTTATCAAGCTGATCTGTCTTATCGCCCATGAGAAATCTGAATGCCTCCAATCAGTGCTGCTGCTGCACGTCTAGGATAAGATGGGTGATTGCATCATCATCAATCAACTACTAAAGGTCCTAGATAAGTTTTCTTTCATTTGTGTGTGTTTTTATTTCAACTAGACTAGAGGTGCCAAGCGGTTTGTTGCGTTTTGATGCATGCGAGAATTTTTTGCGGCGAGTGTTAGGTCAAAAATTAGCCGTAGCTCAACTGTTTAAATTTCTTATGGTCGAACGTAGGTTCTAGACGTCCTTGACTTGACATGGCTGCTTACTCTCATTTCTCTGATTTCTTTTTAGTATTTAACAATGTTGTTCTTTTTCAGACGAGGTGCCAGTAAAATAAGAGGGGCGACTTGGTGCTTGACGAGAAGGAGAATCACGACTCTATCTCTAATGCATTTCAAGCTTGACTCTCGTCTCTACTCTGTAATGTGGTCAAGCTCGGAAGAAGTGAATTGGAGTAGATGGAGAGGGTGAAGAAGATGACATGCGGGCCTGAATCATTTCTTTTGTTAATCACCACGTCATGGGTTGACTGGTTAAAAAATCGCTGCTATATCAGATAAAAAAACCAAGGTGTATTTGAGTTTAAGAGAGGTCCATCAGACGATTTTGCAAGTTCAGGACAGCTATAATGTTTGATTTTGCTATTTAGAGAGTATAAAAACCTAAAAAATTCACACCAAATGATGGTGGGATCTAGACATGGAGCAGGGGACACCACGATTTTGGGAAAAAAGAAGTCTAACATCTCAACATAATTACTTCCCACTTAGAAGTCCGATTCGCCTCCGTAGTCGGAAAATGTTTTTTTATTTCCCTCAACTTTTAGAACCACTCTGAACAGTTCAACATAATTTCGATATCGTACTGTTTCAAAAAAATCAGAAGAGAAAAATAAATATAGTTTTTTTTATTTATTTTTATTAAGAAAGAGAAATCGGACTTTGCAAAAGGTTAAGAGAGGTCACGTACGTGCACTTTCCCCAGCGATTTTCGCCCTGCAGATACCCACGAGCCACGAGGGCCGGAGGCCTATCGTCGCGAGTTTCCACACAGGTTTGCACACATGGCCCATGGAACTCACAAGGCCCATACCGTGCAGTCAGCCCAGGTGCTAAACAACCTCTTTCCCTCCACGTTTGTCTTCTCTCATTCTTCACTATTACTATTCTCTTTATCTTTTCTAACAAAAATAAAAAAAATTGGCCTTCCATTCTTGATGAGGAGAAAAAAAAAAGACCAGATGAACGCATTTTTTCGACCTGCGAATTTGATGGTACAGTGAGTAAATCTGGAGAGCCAAGCAAGCTATCATCACCTTTCATCTCATCTCATGATTCTCATCCCTTGCCTGATCCACGGTGCACACACACACATCCCGCTGAAATGGACTTGGTGCTGCTGGTCCAGACCCGAGAGCAAGCCATAGATGCCTCCATCGCTGTTGCTACTTACCAGCTGCCAAGCCCCGGCCCCATGTTACGGTGACCCACTCATTGTCACCTCCAAGAGAAGAGGAAGACAGCGCGCAATTGCAGTTAGGGCGCCTCTGCCGGCTGCCGGCCGGCGCTTTGTGGGAGATGCATGCACTGCATCTGCATCCCTGCTGCTTTTCCTGATGCTTGATGGAGTGTGTCTGTCTGTCTGATTGCAAGATGCTGACAGGTGGTGGATTGGTAGAGACCTCCGATCCCGGCCGGTCCTCGTAATGAAACGCGGTGGTAACGGTTGTGGGAAGCAGGGAA